CCGAGCCAGGATTTAGCATTCTTACGTACACCACTCTGTTTTTTCTCCCACCATCCTTCCAGTATGGTAATAGCACAAGTTGGGGGTTAAATTAATATCCAGTGCTACATGGTTTTGACTGTTTAAGTATTGTTCAGCAGGGGCATATAGTGTACTATGATTACTTTTTTTTTTTTTGAGACAGAGTCTCACTTTGTCACCCCTGGTAGAGTCCTGTGGTGTCCTACCTCACAGCAACCTCAAATTCTTGAGCATAAGTGATTCTCTTGACTCAGCCTCCCAAGTAGCTGGGACTACAGGTGCCTGCCACAACGCCTGACTATTTTTTTTGTTGTAGTTGTCATTGTTGTTAGGCAGGCCCAGGCTGGGTTCAAACCCACCAACCCCAGTGTATGTGACTGATGTTCCAACCACTGATCTGCGGGCACCAAGCCTAAATTTTATTTTTTGTAAATATTTCTTTTCCCTGGAGTTAGAATAATTGCCTGTTGCTTTTGCTTGGTTTCCTAGACATTTAATAATTTCTCCTGTCCAGACTCTTAACGTAACCATAATCAAGTCAGTAGACTCCATAATTTCTTGGTTCATTTTTCTCTCTCCACCAGCACTTTGTCTTCCCACCCTGCTCTGGCCTGCTTGATGTGTTAGGCATCGCCCTGGAGATTTCCTGGGCCTCTCTAGGGTTGGGTCCCCTATTTTCTAATCTCAAGTCTACTTTCTTGGTCATTCATATTGATTGAGCACATGTTCCATTAGATTCCTGAGAGAAGGAATGTAGGAGGGAAAGTTTTTAATATTTTGAATGTTTGTAAATGTCTTTTTTTTAACTTTATGCTTGATCAGTGGATTGGTTGGGCCTTGGAATCAACACTGGAGCTTCCGTGAGACTGCTGGGAAGTCTGATGCCCTTTGGCTCCTGTCTATATGTTATCTGTCCTGATTGTGTTTTCTTTCCCTCAAGAAGCTGTTAGATTTTCTCTCTTTTTTCTTTTAGGGAGTTTCAAAGCGATACTCCTAATGTGGATTTTCTTTGTTTGAGACAGACTCATCTGGGTCCCTGTCATCTGTACCAGAGTCCAGTGGCATCATTATAGCTCACTGCAACTTCAGACCCCTGGGTTCAAGCGCTCCTTCTGAATCAGTCTCCCAAATGCTAGGATTCCAGGTGTGAGCTTCTGGGCCCTGCCTTCTTTTTTTGGGGGGGGGACAGAGTCTCACTTTGTTACTCTCGGTAGAGTGCTGTGGCGTCACAGCTCATCACTTGGGCTTAAGCGGTTCTCTTGCCTCAGCCTCCCAAGTAGCTGGGACTACAGGCACCTACCACAATGCCCAGCTATTTTTTTGTTGCAGTTGTCATTGTTGCTTAGCAGGCCCGGTCTGGGTTCGAACCTGCCAGCCTTGGTGTATATGGCTGGCGCCCTACCCACTGAGTTACGGGCGCCACCATGCCTTCTATTTTTTTTGATCCCCTTGTCTTCTAGCTCTTCTTTTTAAAACTTTTGTTAATTTCTGAGAGTTCTTTCTTGGTAACTCTTCAAGTTCTTTTTGTTTTGATTGTTCTAACCTGTGCTTTTTGTAACAGGTTATTACAGCAGTACAAATGTTTTGGTTACATGAATTGCTTTTGTATAGTTTGAGTCAAAGTTATAAGAAGTGTGCTCCTCATCTGGACAGTATGCAGGATACCCACAAGGTCTGAGTCTCCCCTCCTCTCCAACCAGCTTGCTTTCTGTTGAGGTTTACTACCATGTCGGTTGATGCATGCCAGTTCAGTATTAAGTACATGTGATGTTTGTTTTTCTGTTTTTGCAAAACTTCACTTAGAAGAATGATCTCCAGTTCCATCCAAGTTGTTAGAAAGGTATTTGCTCACCATTTTTTATGGCTGAGTCATACTTCACAGTATGTGTGTACATATGTATATGTATCTATACACACATCTATAGATGCCTCATTTGATTTATCCACGCACGTATTGAGGAGTACTTGGGTCGTTTCTATCTCTTTGCAATTGTGAATTATATTGCTGTAAATACTTCGGTGTAGGTATCTTTTTGACAAAATGATTTTTTTTTCCTTCAGGTAAATAGTAGATTACTGGATCAAATGGTAGGTCTACTTTTAGTTCTTTGAGCTACTCCATCAGACTTTCCCTAGAGGTTGTAATCGTTTGCAGTTCCTTTCCCTCCACATCCATCTCAGCATCTATTGTTTTGGATTTTTTGATGAAAGCTATTCTCACTGGAGTTAGGTGGTACCTCATTGTAGTTTTTTATTTGTGTTTAAGTTCTTATTGTTGTTTTGACTCTGTTGCCCAGGTTAGAGTGCAGTGGTGTAATCAAAGCTCACTGCAACCTCAAACTCCTGGGCTGAAGTGATCTTATTTCCTCAGCCTCTCAAGTAGCTGGGACTACAGGCTTACACCACTATGGCTAGCTGATTTTCTCTATTTTGGGTAGAGATGGGGTCTGATTCTTTCTTGCTCAGTCTGGTCTCAAACTCCTGCCCTTAAGTGATCCTCCTGCCTCAGCCTCCCAGAGTGTTAGGATTACAGGTGTGAGCCACTGCACCTGGCCTGTGGTTTTGATTTGCATTTCCCCTGTGATTAGAGATATTGAGCATTTTTTCTATCTTTATTGGCCATTAGTCTATCTTCTTTTGAAAAGCTGCTGCTCATGTCTTTTGCCCACTTTTTTATAAGATTGATTTTTTTCTTGCTGATTTTTTTTAGTTCTTTATGGATTCTGGTTATCAGCCCTTTACTGGATGTATAGCAAATATTTTCCAGCAAATATTTTCTCTCATTCTATGTTATCTATTCACTCTATTGATTGTTTGGCTGTGCAAAAGGTTTTTCAGGTGCCGTTTGTCTATTTTTGTTGTTACCGTGATTGCCTGGGAGGTCTTCTTCATAAATTCTTTGCCTAGGCCAATGTCTATAGGAGTTTTTCCAGCATTTTCTTCTAGAATTCTTCTAGTTTCATGTCTTAAGTTTAAGTCTGTTATCCATTATGAATTCATTTTTGTGAGTGGTGAGGTGTGGATCTTGTTTCATTTGTCTCATGTGGCTATCCAGTTTTCCTAGCAGCATTTATTAAACAGAGATTCTTCTCCCAAGTGTATGTTATTGTCTACTCTGTCAAATATCAAATGGTAATATGAGCTAGATTTTATATCTGGGTTTTCTGTTCTAATCCATTGGTCTATATCTTTGTTCTTGTACCAGTAGCATGTTTTGGTTACTAGCTTTTAAGTACAGCTTGAAGTCTAGTAAAGTGATTTTTCTTTTTGCCTAAGCTATTTGGTATCTTTTCTGTTCCGTACAAAGTGTAAAATTATTTTTGCTAGACCTGCAAAAAATATCCCTGGATTTCTCATGGCAATTGCATCAAATCTGTAGATAATGAGTAGTATAGACATTGGGATGATGTTGATTCTGCCAATCCACAGGTGTGATATATTTTTTCAATTATTTACATCCTCTGCAACTCAGTTCTCATAATTCTCCCTGTAGAGGTCTTTTTCCTTGGTTAAATATATTCCTAAGTATTTATTTTCTTTGCTTCTACTGTGAAAGGTATTGGGTCTTTGATGTGATTCTCAGCTTGACTGTTGCTGGTATATAGGGATGCTATTGATTTATATACATTGATTTTATATCCTGAGACTCTTTTGAATTTGTCAGTTCCAGTAATCTCTTGGCAGAATCTTTGAAGTTTCTAAATATAAGATCATATTGTCAGCAAAGAGTGATAGTTTGACCTCTTCTTTCTCCATTTGATACTCTTGATTTCTTTCTTATCTGATTGCTCTGGCGAGGACTTTTAGCACAAAGTTGAACAGAAGGGGTGGCAGGGAAACCTTGTCTAGTTTCAGATGTAAGTGAGAGTGCTTTCCGTTTTTCCCCATTCAATCTGATGTTGGCTGTGGGATTGTCATGTATGGCTTTTATAATATTGAAGTATGTTCCAGCTATGCCTACTTTGTTAGGAGGGTGCTGAATTTTGTCATATGCTTTCTTTGTGTCTACTGAGATGATCATATGGTCTTTGCTTTTGCTTCTATTTATGTGGTGAATCTCATTTATAAATTTGATGATTATTTTATTATTTATGTATTTATTTATTGAGACAGAGTCTCACTATATTGTCCTCAGTAGAGTACTGTGGCGTCACAGCTCACAGCAACCTCAAACTCTTGGACTTAAGTGATTCTCTT